CAAAAAATTATCTGCCTGGTACAGCGTACTGGAGCGAGAGTGACAAACAGCATACATTAACAAATATATATAGCTACATAGCACAATAGATAATTAACTAACACCAATAAGGGGTGATAATACCAACATGCCCAAGAAATAACACGTAGAAAGTCATTATCTCCTATACTCCGTACCGGAGATAATTTGCATATGTAAGCTTCAGTTCAAGTTTTAACGTTCAGCCGCTTAGAGTGTTAACAATAATCAGTGCCTTTAAAGCAATATTTTAAAACAGTTAACCCTGGAGTTATTCGATTTCCGCACTGTGCTAGTTGAAAACATAAATACAGTGTTTGTTTTTATCCGTAACAAACAAATGTCCAGTATTAGACACGGCACAACCAACAAGATGACTATTATGGTCAAAAAAACTCCCGGCTACCTTAGCGACATATTTTCCTTCTAGTGTGAATAGTTTCAGTCTCCTGCTCCCCGCATCACAAACGATCAAACGGTTAAACTTGTCAATAGCGAGACCAGTAGGACACCTTAACTGCCCGTTACCAGATCGCTCGCTGCCAATATCATAAAGATACTCCCCTGCGTTGTTAAATACCATGACACGGACAGCGTGACAGTAAGAGACAAAGAATTTCTTCTGGTGATAAAGAACACACCATGGTCTCTCATCACAACCAGGAGCACTGAACGACTGAAGTAAATTTTTCCCATCAGGGCTGAGAACTTTAATTGCTTTGTCGTCCCAGTCACATGTGATTATGCGACCCTCACTCCCAATAGATATGTACCACGGTATCTTTGCATGTTCATCGCTGATGTATCGGATGAACCGACCATCTTCAGTATACAAAGATAATTTATTGAAGTCACCAGGGCTACGGACAAGGAGGTCACCAGACTCGGTAAAAGCTACCGAAGTAGAAACAATATCTGGTGCAATCTCTCTGAGGAAATTTCCGTCAAAGCTAAACATCTGAATTCTCTTATTTTCATAATCAGTAACAGCAAGTGTTCTCCTCTTATCGCCTACAGAAATACCCCAAGGCTTCTTAAACTGTCCTTGCTCTTTTCCTTTTGATCCAAACTGAAATGCAAATTGATACTGATGCGAACTGATCACCTGTACAAGCCAGGGACTACCAGTCAGCGGCTGTCCATTAACTTGGATCCCTACTCTATGTTGTCCAACACACTGTGGTATGTATGTTACAGTGTACTTGCCGTATTTGTTGTCTTTTATCTCTGTTTCCAGTTGATCATCTGCTGGAGTTATAATGTTGACTTTTACTTGATCATCTTCATGGTAACACTGCTTTCCACCTGAATCTCTAGTTAAAATGATGAAATTTGCCACCGTTTTTTCTCTTACAAGTTCTTGACTGTCCACTTCCGCTAAGGAAAGTAAGGGATCTATATTACTAACCACAATTCGATCCAAACCCGGATTCAGTTGATTTTCGACTATGTAATGCACGTGTGGTGGTATATAAATGTCAGGTTTTGTTACATTCAAAAGTTCTTCACAGCGTCCAACAATGATCTGATTTGTTTGAAGAATCTCGGCAATGACGTTTCTTTCCAGAGCACTTTCACTTCGTTCAAGGCAACTTTTTAGTTGAGTGAGAATGAACTCAAACTTTTCTATTTGCGTTGCGTGATGTTTTTGTTGCGCTTCATAGATTTCAGCAAATTTGGCTTTCATGACCCTCTCATGTTCCCGTAATTCACGGATACGTTCCTCCACTGTATCTGTCATCTTCTTTTCCGCTGACAAAATTTCATTTTTAGTTTTGTCCGTTAGCTCGGTTTGTTTCTTTATTTTGTTCTCGTAAATAACAGTTTCCGCTTTCACTTTCTCTACAGCGTCCTTCATTTGCATTTTCTGTAATCGTGCGGCTTTCTGAGTGTCTGTTATCGTGTGTCGATTATGGCTTACTATACAGCATTTCTGGCAAATAAGAACTTTGCATTCTTCGCAATAAAATTCCAGCGGTTGATTTTCGTGATATTGCTGCGAACACATGACGGGTCTGTGGATCAAATCTTCCACATCTTGCACTTGCAATTTCTCTATCACAACATTGCGATGACCTCTTGTGGTCTTCAGTCGCTGATGAGCTTCAAAACAAACAGTGCAGAGGAATATTTGGCAGACGAAACAGTAAGAGGAAGCAGTGTTGTTCTCATCACAACTGCTGCATTTCTGGGCCTGTGCGCCGCCATCTTTTAGAGCGAGAACATCTACTAGCCGGTTGAGATGATAAGATGTGGGAAAGTTGTTGAACGAGTCTCCTTCAGGAATTTGAAATGATGTCTGACAAACCGGACATTTGATCGTCGCTTGTAGTTGTCTTCTTGCAAAAATTGCGTGTTTGTCAAGGCACTGGAGGCAGAATGAGTGAATACATGGCAAAGTCTTGGGATTGTTCACTGTATCCAAACACAGTGGGCATTCAGCTTCTTTCTTAAGATTCGCGAAAAGCTGTTGAACATCCATAATGTGTTTAAACAAGAAGCCGCTTACAGCAGCATTCAGTCTCGCTTGTTTGAAGATTAGATCAAGAAATGAGGAGGCGATTAATTCTACACGAAACGAAACAGATTTAACCGCTAAATGTTTTTTGCTTCCTACTTTATCGACGTCGATACTTTTTACTTGTTTCTAAAATGATTTAGTACGCGTGTTAGCGACGACCGGAAATACGTCTGCGGTCGTAGGCTATACGCGTTTAGTAAAATCCAACTAGTGGTCTATTATCAATGCTGCGTTCTGATTGGTTGAGCTACTACTAGGCTATATGTTATAGCCCACTAATAGCGAAAAGCGCCGGCTTTGAAAACCAAAAATAATGGCCGCTAAATCGCGTTTTGCTAGCTAAAGCGGTTTTGTCTCGATATTTTTGACCAACTAGTTGGATTTTACTAAAACAATTATCCCTCTCGTACTCACGGCCTCTGAGTCAATAGCCCATTCGGCCTTCGGCCTCATGGGCTATTGACTCAGAGCCCATGCGGGCTCGCGGAATAATTGTTAAGTATAAATACAGGAAAATTCAAAGGCCTCGATTCAGAGAAATAACATCATTGTTGTATTATTACGTATCATTGCCATTGCCATTGTATTATTATGTATCATTGCCAGATAACGAAAGAGTGATTTACATGGCGCGTCTTTTCAGTCATCGCCGAAAATATATCGCATGCTCATCCCAAGACTTATTTGCATACAGTGAAAGCTTACAACACCCGACTATCGCAATTTTGCTAATTCAGATTTTGAATTATTTTCGACCACTCGGTAGTGTTCACTTGCTCCAAAGTAATCAACGCTTTCAAGCGATAGAGTTTGTAAACCGACACGTTTCCGAAAAGCTCTAGCTAAATTTAATCTTTCCTAAGCTTTCTTCGCAAAACGTGCGTGGCTTCCATCACGTAACTATTCTTAGTCCCAGTTTCCACGGTGTCCGCAAGGAACGCCTGGCACAATGACCCACCATTTCTGACCCAAAAATAACAAAAAATGCCCGGGGGGTACTTTCAGAAAAATTGGGTGGGTATGTGCGGCACGCTTCCTGAAACCCTTACCCTATTTCAGACCAAAATCTGTGATTTGCCCTACCCTGTTTCTGACCTGATCAAAAAGTTGATACCCTATTTCAGACCTGAAACCCTGGAGCCCGGCGCGTAACCGGAGCGCGTGACAAGCTGTTACGGCACGTACACGGTAGTTGGCGTAAACATTAAAAGGGAAATGGTCTTATCGCCAAATGATGAAGAAGTAGCTAATTCTTCTAAAAAACAAACCCAATTCAAGACTAGAGTGCACAAACCATACCCTATTTCAGACCAAAACGGCTGAAAAAAAACATACCCTTTGGCGCCGCACATACCCATATGGCCTATATAAGGGACTTCCCCCCGGGGCGAAAAACACGTTGCAGTTTATTAGTCATACGCAAGCGAAACTAATGATGGCTTATGGGTGATATCATGTGATTTGGGTGATGTTTGCGTAGCAGAGTGAAGCAGAGTGTGACCAGTTACGAAAAAAAATGAGGCGGAACCGAAATGGATGAGAGAATCAACAACAGGGAATTAACAGGGAAATGGGGTCCATAAGTTAACCGAGGGCAAGCAGAAAAATAAACTAATGAGTATAGGACGTGTAATGAGTCGAAATTCAGTCACCAGTCTAGACAGCACAGGTATCCCAAGCTCCTGTTGTGAAATGTTTTGAAAACAGTTATGGCGAAAATAGAGCGTGCGCATCAAACACTCCAGAGCCAGAAAAACTCCACCAAGAGTAACCCTACCAACCGCCATTTAACTGCAGATGTCCCTAATTGCATTTGGTATATGCGTGGAGCCAAAGAATTAAGAGAACTCTTCAGGAGTCCATACTCGGAGTAAGCCGCTTTCATGCGCTCGTGTCACTGATCAGGGTATGTTTAGAAATTTTATGGCGCGAAATTAGAATATGGACAACGACCCACAAATCAGGTAACAAAACCTACATACCCCAGTGAAAATAGTTTCTATTTTTCATAACCTTATCTTCGAATGAGCACATAGACGGAGCGGAGTTTTCATTTTTTTATTTTCGTGAGAAAAGAAAGCGCAACGTTTTGAAGGAGAGCAACTCATCACCAAGCCACTCTTCCGGGGTTTCTCTCCTACTCAACCTCTCTCTCTCTCACTGCGGGGAAAGAGTAGTAGAAAACGCTTGGAAACGATGATTGCAACGTAACAAAAGGTATTGCACTTGAATTTTGGTTGGTTAAAAAGGGGATCATTATTTCTTGGGTCGCTCTTGTTTTCTTTTAACTGACAAAAAGAGGGGACAGGTAAAGAATACGGAGGAGGGAGAAATCGGGGCGAAAATGTAGGGAGGAGGGAGAAAATGAAATGTTGGGAGTAGGGAGATATCGATGAGACGGTAATTTTAGCGCTTTTTTTTAACTTGCGTGATGACAAGGGATGGGGGAATGAGGAATTTGACGTACACTACGGTCCCCTTGGGTGTCCTTTGACTCCCTTGGTCGGACTTAGCCGAGAAAGCATGGAATCTAACTTGACACATCTTAGGTTACCAGGTTTAAAAATTGGCGACGGGCAACACACGACTCATGTACTAGCCTCCCACGCAGACGTTCTTAGAGGTTCGACTGGGACAGAAACGCGTGTCGAACCCCTAAGAACGTCTGCGGGGAAGACTACTTATGCACTTGGTCGTAAACTGAAATTCAGAGCTTCGCACTTACTAATAGGTCCTCAACATATTTCCCTTGCGATATGATATGAGGGGAGTCTCCTTAAAGACTCCTATCAGCGTTTGTTAGTTTTGCATAAGGTGCAATTTCCCATTAGCATTTTCGTTAGGCTAAGTTAAGCTGGATGGTATTGTGTAATAATAGTATTTTTTTAAGAGCGGATTTGTTTCTCTGTTGAGGGGCTGTTTTCCTGTCGTCCAAGTTACCTCAGAGAGGTACTTACTCACAATAGCGGCAAGGTAGCCTCTTTCTATTAGCAGATTTTCGAAGTTTTTGGATATTTTTCTCAAAAGTGGTTTGAGTTGAAGAGGTCTTTAGAAGCCGGAGCGCTTCTCCTTTAACGAAGCCTTTCTTCACACCTGGTGGGTGACACGAGTAGAAGTTCGTGTACTGAAAAGTTTCTGTTGGTTCGTAATGTGTTTGCAAAACCAACGGCCATCTTTGTTCCCATTACTGGTCCATGGATCTATAGGTACTGGAAACGAGTTTTCTGTTAATATAAGTTAGGGTATTTCTCTTAAATACTTGGTATGTATAGGGGCTTTTTCCCCGAGGGTACTCCCTCATATAAGCTATACAAGTATCAGCGGCCCAAAGGTAGGGTTTTTGCTCAGGGGCGGGGAGGGGGAGTTAATTCGGATTTCAAGTGACAGGGATGAGAGAATGGGGCCAAAAATAAAAACCCAAAAAAATCGCTAGGGCTTCCAACAAAACCCTCCCAAAAATCCCTGGACCAAAAATTAGCCCCAAAGAAATCCCATGGCGAATCTCTGAGCCTTAATCGCAGAACTAGGCGGCCGGGATTTAGTGTGGGCACTATCACGATTCTTCAGATTCTTCCGAATAACCAAAACAATCCCTACTTAAATCAAGCCACCCCCAAAAAATTCTTGCCAAATTTTACTACCCAAAAAGATCTTGGAATCGAAAATTTCAAACCCCCAAAAATCCTGTGATCATCCCTGTCACTTGAAATCCGGAGTACCCCCATGGGGTTTGTTGGGGCGTTTTGGTCTGAAAACGGGTATAGACTTTGCCTATCGGGTATGGTTTTCGAGGGAACTACGGTAGAATATGAACGTATCTGTTATTTCAGTTCCAAATGACTAATAAAGAAAGACATATATGCAAATTTGAAGTGGATTTTAACAAAGCTTTTTTGTTGCTGTCCTAATCTAAGTAATGATGACATTTTTTCTTAGAGACCAGGTCTAAAGACGGCTGTGGAAAATGACATTTTTTGGTCTGAAATTGGGTCAGAATTTGGAGAACAGGGCGGCACACCCCCATCAATAATTTCCAGGAGTACCCCCCAGCGTTTTTTCTTTGTTGGTTTTCACATGACGTCACTAAAATTCAAACTATAAAACTATCGATGCTACCGAGATTTTGCTTTCATGATGCATTAGAGCAACTGAAAACTAATTTTCATACAAATTTTCACTTTAAAAGGGTTCTTGGTTTTGTGATATAGTACGCTTGAATTTCTAAGCTTTTGCGTGACTCGGCATTTACATGACGGCCAAGAGAGCTGCCATGTACGTTAAAAAAGAGACTTATTTCTAGGAAGCTTGCTATCTAAACAGTTCATGCATTAGAAAAAAGTATTACTTTAATTTCTATGAATTCCTCGCAGAAGAAATTCAACTTTTTGTAGCTAAACTCGGTAACAGATGTTTCTGTTGGTTTTCGTCCGCCATGTTGGTGCTCACTCGGATGAGCGCCAGCATGGTGTGTCCATACAAATCTCTATAAATTTGGGTACAACATTTCTTCGGATATCTCGTATGCGAAATAGTCCTCTGATATGAATCTTGGCCAGGGTCTTTGTATATTTACCTCCTTTCATTTTCCAGATTCTAGACTTTATCTATTGAACGGTTTTGATTTTTATTTTGATCTATTTTGAATGGCTTGACTGAAAACCAGCAATAAAAATCTTCGTATACGTGACATACGGTGGTCACGCAATCTTCGTGCGGTATGTTGGTGTAGAGGCGAAGCTCTGAAGGTCAGAAAACTTCCTTTACGACTAAGTGCAGGAGTCGTGTGTCGCCCGCCGCCAGTTTTTAAACGAAATTTAGGAAGGAGGAAGAAATTGGCTGAAAAAGTAGGGAGGAGGAAGATTTACTCTCCTGTACCTCCCCCGTCCAAAAATAATTGGTGACATGGTGGCTAGAATGTTTCTAAAACATTGCAAGTCCAATTAACCACCTCTCTACAAAGG